TCTATTTTTGGTGTTAGAAAGGCTTAGGCCCAAGTGGAGGGCAAAGGTTGCATGGTCTTATCATGCACCTAGATATAGCCAATCTAAACCCAAAGATTCCATCCTTGGCCACCAAGTTGCATCTAGGGTTCATTTGCATTTCATTTGGAATGCATTTGCCTACTCCAAATGCAACCCTAGATGTCTCCCCTCCTATAAATACCCAACCCCCCACACCTTGTAAATACTTTGGATTATATGATATTGAGTGAGCTTTTATGCCTCAACATCTCTTCCTTAGTCACTAGGTTAACTTCGGCTAGCCTCCTTCATTCTCCACCCTTGGAGAGTGAAACCGTAGAGTGGCCTCCACCTATACTTGGAGTGAGCCAACCTTGAGCAACCAAACACCATTCACCTAAACATTTCCGCCACCCTAAACCTACTTCACGCCCATCTTCCTTTTCCCATCATAAGTCACCTTTTGTCTACCCTTTTGTGAGCCTAGATCAAGGGCAAGGTCTTCCCCCTTCACACTCTACATCAATCATGGAAGGAGGACTCCATCATATAATCATCACAAGTTCAATCAGAGTCAACAATGGCAAACCCAACTGCAATGTCAAAAATGTCAAATTCATGTTCAGATACAAAGTTAGCAATCTCACACATAGAGGAACTAATACCAGATGAATCAATACTAATACAATCAAGATCAAGAATGTCACTCCTCAAGGTAGACATAGATGAACGTGCTAATTGTAGTTGGTTGACATTAGTAGTCAATTGATCAATTTGTATTTGCAAATCTTGAGATGCAACATTCCACTTTTGTTGAAACTTCTTATTGCATTCATCCATCTGATTCATCATTTCCTCTAATGTAATTTCACCACTCTATTCAACTGGTGACTGAACATAATCCTCAATAAGACCTCAATGATGGCCTATCCACTTAGAACTATACTTCTCAGAGTATTAATCATGATAATATTATTGTGGAGGATCATAATAAGTTCTAACAGTATTACCACGAATGGCTAATTGTTGGACTAAAGAGGTTAAGTCAATCAAAACATAAGCCATAAGTATCTAACAATAGTAACATGTACAAAATCACAATTTAAAATAGAAACAAAACTAATAATGCTAAACAAAACAAAGTGATAAAAGTCAACAGAAAAGTGAAAAGTTAACTGTAAAGTCAATATCTAACAAAGAGAACCTATAACATGCAAAACACCATCAAATGAATTTTAAAAAATACAAGACTATCAAAAACTCATTTAATATCAAATTTTCCTATTTTCTATAATTTTTTTGGTGATTTTTAAAAATATCAAAAATAGTAAAAAAAATTAAAAAGTGGTCTAAACAATGAAATTTGACAATTTTACATACAATATACTTCCAAAGGGAGTTGTTTTGCTCATAATGATGGTTTACCTTTGGAGAAAAAGTTTTAACCCAAAGCGAAAACTCTGAAAAAGTGTCTTTGAGCAAATATTATACAAAATCACAAAACTCAACAAAAATGGTTATCAAGGTTAGTATATACAAAAGCAATTTCACAAACAATTAGTAGGTGTAAGACACAATGACTCATGTCCCTGACAATGGCGTCATTTTGATAGCATTGTCGAATCACTATAAAAAATTACTAGATTTTTCTGAAAGGTTTGTAATATAGGGAACAACCTAGGTCATTTTTCTTGAAGACATAAACTAATTGGATCCAAAATTATCACGCAATTAATAAGGGAATTTTAATGGACAACAAAGAGAAATTATAATATTACAAACAACACATAGAAAATTCAATCGAAAAATTCAATCATAAATTACATCAAAAAATGAGAGTAAAGTGTACACAACAAATCTCACAACACCTATTAATAGAGAAATATAATGGGTATAATATCAGTAGTTAAAGGCCCAACCGATTAAATCAACTAATTACATCACTAAACAAATCCTAACATTATAATCTAAAAGGAAACAAAAAATACTATAGAGGGCTGCAACCTTGCAACACATTTTTGGGTGTTTTAGCAACTGAACTGACCTTTGCTCCCAACAGAGAAGTTGTAGAACACTCTTTTATCTTTTCATAGACACCAAGAACATCAAAATTTGATATCAAGAGCTCCAGATATGGCCTAAATAAGAATAAGGTGTAAAAGTGGGTAAAATTAGATTGAGTAAAAATTACAATAATCATCAAATAATACCACTATCATAAATCTAAGCCAAAACACGAATATAAGACACATACAAAGGTAAAAAAAACCAAATAAATACATACAAAGTTGCTTCTCAAAATGCACTATCACCCACCACAAGAATCTCTTTTCTTTAATAAATCTACTCTAAAAACCTAATCACAAAGATTATAAAAGGATATCACCTAATAAACATAATTAACATAACATGTGATATGTAAACATAGTAAAATCTTGAATGTTCAATGAGTTGATGGTGACTGAAACACCTTGATCCATGATAGAAAGCTCTCAAGTGTTTAACTTTTGTCTCTCTCGATTGCTATCAAGAATTTGTAGTAATCAATATAATTAATTACTCAAGTGTTTAGAAAATTAAAATATAAGTCATAATCAAAGAGAAAATTTGTTATATAGAGAATTTCACTCAAACTAATCAATTATTTATTTTTGTAATTAATTATTTTGTTCTTCTTAATTATGAAATCCAACAACAATAGAATAATCTCTTTGATATAATTGGGATGACAATGGGCCCCGCTAAATGAAAATTGGTCCCATACCCACCCATATCTGTGCGGGTATCCATTAAGTGGGTATCCATGAATTTCTTGAATACCCACAGATATCCATGGATATTTATAAATTTTTTAAGAAATTAAAAAAATTATATTACAAATAATTTTAAGTTTATATTTAATGTCATTGAAATATTAAAAATAAAAATTTAGTGTTAATTTTGAATTTGTATTTAACGTTAATTTTGTTAAAATAATAATAAAAATGCAATATAATCAATAACTTAAATACATCAATCTAACAAGTAAGTTAAAGTCTCATCACAAAGTTATAATAATTCAATCTCATAATTCCAAACGAAAGTAAACAACTTAAAGTACATAAATCTTACTGGTCCAATCAAAGCTAGAAAAATAATCAAATTACATCTAACATAATTCCATAACATGCTTAACACATGTTAGTAACTTCATCAACCTCACTTTTGTAAGAAAATAAGATGAGAGAGTGTAGTTTTAGGGCTGTGGTATAATGATAATTAAGATATTTAAGAAATAATATTATACGGGTAAAAAATTATCCGTCCCCATTATTCGCGGGTACCCAATTAGCCTATCCATTTATTATCCGTAGCGGATTTTATCTGCAATTACTCGCAGGTGCCGGTATTTTTGCCATTCCTAGATATAATCGAATATTTACGGTGTTATTTTGTATATAATTAATTATTTTAATATTTAATCAGTTAATTGTGAAAGTTATGTCTAATAACTTAAGCAAACCAAAGTATTTTTCAATCAATTATAACATCATTTTCACGAATTTGAACCTTGATTACTTACAAAATTGATTTCAAACTATTTTTAATCAATTTATTCATCAATCATTAGCCATATATCAAATATAAGATCAATTACTAAACAATATTAAGCACAAAACCTAAACTAGCAATCAATACAATTTTATTTTCTTCAAGAGACCATTTGAAATCATCAAAACTTCAAGTAAGCTTGCCCATCCTTGATCAATAAACTCTCATTTTTTAACATGACAAATCGCTTATCCAATTCTTTATCCTCTTTAAGATGCAATGAATCTTAAAGTTGTATCATCAATCAAATTGTACTTAAAATTTCTTGCAAAAGAGAAAACAACATCTTTCACCTCCTTTAGACATCTTTAAAAAAAACCCAAACACACACAAAAAAAAATCATACGAAACACGTCAATATAATAAAACATTATGATAATGTACAGACAACAGACAATGAAAATTTTCTGAAATATGAGCTCATTCATTAATCATAAAAGTCCACTAATTTTTGATAAAAAGCTATAATTTAATTTAAATATTATCAAATATTAATTATCATATTAATTATTTAATGTTATATTATAGTCAATGTTAAATTTTATTAAAAGGAAGATTATCTAACATTTAGATCAAAATTAAAAATTTTATAAAATTAAAAATTTTATAAAATTAAAAATTAGAATTAAGAATTAAAAATTGATAAAATGTTATTTTTTGGGGTTAAATTGCATAATTTTCAAAATAAAAGAAGGTGCAAGTAGAATTATCACGAACTTCTAAAGGCATATATTGATCTCTTAACAACAATCTAAGGGATAGGTTTTTGTGACATTTCGATGCTCAAATTGCAGCGAGTCTCCAATTACAGGAACCGAAGGAGGAGAGAAAGAAGCAAAATGTGAAGATAAAGAGGATAGACCAAAGTGGCATGAAACTCAGAACTGAACCAAACTTCAAATTGTGTCTCAGTATTCGAAAATGACATTGATTCTTTGTCCTTGTAATTCCCTTTACTTTTCCAAGTCTTTGTTTCCTCTTAATCACCATACCAGAAATTTCAGCAACACTTTCAAGAACAAGCCACCCACGAGCCCCGTGAAACTCCCATCTCCAACACCCCAAAATTTTTGCCCTTTTACAAATAAATTTGCAATTTTTGGTGCTACCCATGTTCCATTTTGCTCCAGGGACGATGAATTTGTGGTTGATGATAGTTTCCAAGAGCTTGAAACGCTTGAGTTGCTGGACAAGCCGTCACTTGTTCCCATTAAAAACGGGTCCTCTTCTGAAATTGATGTGCACATAGATAAAGATTCCACTGAAGATGAGGCTTTGACACCCTTTTTGAGGTTTTTCAAAGTAAGTGGTGATTTTGTGGTGGACGAGAAAGAAGATGGTGGTGGGGTGTTGGAATTGGAAGGTTTTAAGGAAAGAGATGATGTGGGTGATGAGAGTGAAGAAGGTGAGAAGGTTGGTGCTGAGTACTATGAGCCCAAACCTGGGGATTTTGTGGTTGGTGTTGTTGTTTCAGGTAATGAGAACAAGCTGAATGTGAATGTGGGATCAGAGCTACTAGGGACAATGTTGACAAAGGAGGTGCTTCCCTTGTATAGTAAAGAGATGGAGCACTTGTTGTGTGATGTGAACAAGACCGAAGAGAGTTTTATGGTTCAGGGGAGGATGGGGATTCTGAAGAATAATGATGCAATAAATGAGATGCCGGTGCCTGGAGGAACTGTTGTAGAGATTGGAACCATTTTGTTTGCCGAGGTTTTGGGCAGAACACTTGCTGGTAGGCCATTGCTTTCTACCAGGAGGCTCTTCCGCCGGATTGCCTGGCATCGGCTGAGGCAGGTTTTTGTGGTCCTTTCATTCTTCCTTTGACCTTACTTATGTTTAGTATATTAGGAGCCTATTTGGATCAAACTTAGAAGTGCTTTTGGGAATTTCTCTAATAGAAATATCTCTTTATTAGAGAAACTCTCATGAACACTCCTAACTTGTATCAAAACAGATTCTAAATATGGTAACTTTTGTGTGTAATTTGTGAATGGGATGTATGCCTAGTTAGTTGGAAACTAGGAAGCACGGATATGGCAAAAACATGAGGCGGCATGATGGCACCAACAAAAAGAAACTGCAAATTCTAGAAGTTATAGGATGGAACATGGTTAGGATACAACACAAAAAATTGATATTAAGCTAACATAAAAGCACAAATCTTGCATTAAAATAAAGACATCAATGTTTCAGAAGTCAACATTTTTGTTGTGAACACAATAAAATACTATGGTTTATCTAATTATGGTGTCTTGTCCATATTAGTATACAAATTCAAAACATAAAGGAAAAATGTTGAAGGATGTAGGCTAGGTGTATCTGACGCTGGTATGGCTACCATTTCAAGATATCTATGCTTCATAGGTTGGGAAGCCTTGTCATATATTGATAAGTGAATGTTACATCACAAATAACTATAGTTATAGTCAGTAAGGAAATATATGCGATAACAAACTCAAAAGCAATGATCTTATGCCAAATTATTGCTTTAATCAATTTTAAAACCTACAAAGTCAAATAATCTATTCTCTTGCTGATGAGATTTAAATCTTCTGCTTAACTGCTTTTAATGTCTTGAGCAGATAAAACAGCTTGGTGAACCTATACAAGTTAGAATCAGTGAGTGGAATGCTAAGGGCTTGCTGACAAGGATTGAGGTCTGTGCCATTGATCTGAATACTTATGTTCATGTATCATATGAGTAAATAACTATCTCTTCTTGGATTTGGATATGCAGGGTTTGCGAGCTTTCCTGCCCAAAGCTGAGCTTGTGAAAAGAGTAAATAGCTTTACTGAGTTGAAAGAAAACGTGAGCTCCAATCCAACCCTGTAATTTTCCTCCCTGACAGAAAAAAAAAATTATACAATAAAATCTTAGTTTTGGGTCAGCTAATTAATTTGACCTTCTGATTTCTGAATTCTGATACTCTACGATTGTATTATATACTATATAGTGGATCAACATATAATAATATATATTGCTTTGCTGATGTGGATAGCGCTATTAGGCTCAACTAAAATCTTCTGTGGCTTTGATTTCCTTGTGTGTGCTTGATGGAAGCCTCTATGAGCTATCCTGTTAATTTATTATTTTATTTTTTTAACTGAAACAATTATCTTTTCAAGCTTTAGGCATGTCCGTGCCTTAAGAAAGTGGCCAGAGATTCTGATAACTACTTACTAAATAATAGGAATATTAAACATTCAAACAATTTTGTTCTGACACATATTCGAAGTGATATATTCTCTAATCAGTAAGATCTCTGTCTTTCCACAGGCTTATATTGTTTTATTTTTTTTTAAATGTACATCACTAGTCTATTAATTTTTTATATATCATGATATATTATGGAGTTCAAGTGGTGATCTCAAGTTATCTTTCATAGTACTTTCTGAGCCTCCTCTAGGTAAATGAATTTAGTTTATTTTTCAATTCTAATTTCTGCTGTACATTACCTGAAAAGTTTTCACTACTTAAATGCATTTTTCCTCCTTATTTTCCAGTTTATTTACACCTGGAAAATTATGTCAGTTTGAACACATTTGATGTTTTTCTCACCATTTGTTGTTAGTTAGTATTCATTTTTTTTTTCTTCCATACTTCTTAATTCTTACAACTATTTGATAATAATGATGTAGATCGGACACCGTATGCATGTACAAATTACTCAACTAGATGAAGATAAAAACAATTTGATACTTAGTGAGAGGGAAGCTTGGGTCAGTACTCTTATCTATCATTTCCTTTCTTGTTGCCTAGTTTCAATAGTCAGTGTTGGAGTTTGTGGTTTTGTTTGCTCCTGTTTGTCTTTTGCAATCCCTTATGTGAAATTGATATATTGCAGGAAAAGCTATATCTTCGAGAAGGAACACTTCTTGAAGGGACTGTAAAAAGGATCCTTCCTTATGGAGCCCAAATAAGGATAGGAGAGACGAATAGAAGGTGAGTGATATCTTGGATAAAGAAAGTTAACTCTTCAGGCTTCTATTTTGTTGTTTGGTAAGTTAACTTTATTCAACAGATTCACGTAGATGCAACTCTTATTTCATAGGGAGCAATTCCATTAGAGTATCATTTAGATGCTTGCATGCTTCCAATTTCCCTGCTCTGATGTTGCCAATTGTGAAGGAAAGAAAAGTTAATGTGACTTGGTCCTACATATGGCTTGTAGAAAAAATAGAAAACACACTAGATAATTCGTGCACAGTAATAAGATGAGTGCTTTTTGTAGGTAAAACATACTTGTGAATCACCTTCAAAATAAATGGAATTGTGTAGACTTGCATCAACTCTAATGAGATTAAATTGTTCTCATTATTCCTATCAAACCATTTGGTATTACTGCTCTGTTTCCAGCTCACTTTGATATAGTGCCTTAGTAAATAAGTGGCCAATTAGTTTTCTATTTGTCATTCTTTTAGTTGATTTTTTCTTTTATCTTTCAATTTCTTCCAATTGTTTTGTCTTCTAATTGACCTCTGTCGCCAGTTGATAAAATAATGTTAAAACACATGCTTGGAAATTAAGTTTTGGTTTGATCACGTGAATAAAAGTGGAATAAGGCTTTTGTTTCTGTTTGATTTGATATTGAATTCAAAAGGCCTTCTTATATATAGTTTAAAGAACTTTTGGAGGGCTTCACTGGAAGAAGACATGAAGTTTTCATCCTGGTTGATGGTCTTGCTATGTCACATGAGAATATTTGGGTCTCTGTTTACAGTCTTTCAGTGCGATATGTTCCCTCTTACTTGGCATCTAAACTGACTCAAAAATCACCTCTTGCTTTGGAATCATCTTCCACTTGGATCTCATGCAATGATTTATACTCCACTTGGGCCGAAATTCACTTTGGTAATAGAAGATTGGAAGTCTGTTCAGCTGCCAAAATTGAACCACATTCATCCATGATTCTGAATTTGATGGAATTTTGTAATCATGCCAATTAAAAACGCAACAGATAACAGAAATGATTGTAAGTAACCAACCAGAAAAATGATAAAACTTTTTTTTATTTTTTTTTTAAATGTGCTGTAGCATCGTTTTGCACTAGAAAATAAGGAAAGCATTGTTATGACCGGTTGGAAACAAGATAATATATTTCATTTTGATACACAAAATGTAATCTTTAAAGAATTTGTGATATCAATAATTATGGTACTTGAGGCTGGAGTGAGTCACAAGCCTCACTTTTAACAAGAACCTTATGGTGCGGTTGTTAAAATGAGACTTAATATATACGTTATGAGTACTTTTTTTGGTGTCCATTGAAATTTGGGTTGAAAAATGTCAACCCCCCAACAAAATTCCTCTTATTACAAATGGATTTGAACCTAGGGCATCCACTAAATAGTTTAAAATGCTACGCCCCTGTTTTGTTTTGTTTTTTTTATTTATTTTGTTTTGAGGATTCATGATATTCTTGAGTGCAAAAGTAAATTTCTGCTGGTATGAATATGGTCCACTGCATGAAATACTTCTTCGCACTAAGTCATAACAGGACTGGACTTGATTTAATCTAGAACCCTATAAAATTTCTAGTTACAAAGAATAATATACTTTAAATTCTTATGGCCAAAAAGAAAAGGGAAAAAAGGACTAAACAAAGTTTCACAACTCAAAATATATATGTGGATAAGAGAATCCTGCCTTGGTACCAACCAGCATCCCCACCCTTCTGCAAAGACTACTTAAAATTAGTGAAATTTAAATTTTCAGTGCATAAAATGTTGAAATTCCAGTTAGAGAAACAATTGAACTTTTGGAAAGCATCGTATTGGTAAATGATAAGCAGTTTGGTGGTTATGGAATGTCTACCAAGGGAGTAAATATTTCCTCCATCATTTGCATTTATCTGACATTTTATCTTTGACCAATTCTTGTACTTTCTTGTTTTCAACCCAGAAGTAGACATGACTTAACTTCATTCACAGATATTGGTGCATTTTACATAGGAATTTTTATTTTCTTTCTGAGTACTTTAAGTTAACAAATATAAGGTGCATTAATCCTTGTTAGATTACTATTTTCTCTTTTATTCCCATGTGTATCATGTTTTTTTTATACTCATGCACATACCTATACTTTTTCATTGTGGAAAGAGTTGAATCATCCGAGATTCTGGCTTGGCTGTTTTGTTGTTGAGCACTTTAGTTTGTCATCCTATTCTCCTTGTCAACATCTTTAAGATTTGCATATTTTTGTATCTGTGTGTGCACGTGTATATATAACCTGACATTTAATTTATCATGACTTAGAATTGTTGAGATTGCCAAACTGTATGTACATAACCTGACATTTAAAATTAATCTGTTGGGTACCTTCAGTGGATTGCTACATGTTTCAAATATCACTCGAGCCCGAATCACTTCTATTAATGACATACTTGCTGTTGATGAGAAGGTTAAAGTTGTGGTCGCAAAATCCATGTCTCCTGATAAAATTTCTTTAAGGTAATGGATAACTGACTTTTGACTTCCTTCTGTAATTGTTGAATGCACTTAGTTTGTTACTGTTTATTTGTTGTAATTGAATGAATCATTCAGAATAAACCTAACAAGCTAATTAAAATTCTAATTCCTACCCCTCCCACTTACCACACAAAAACTCCTTACAAAATTAGGCATCACCAAGTCACAGAAAAAGGTAAAAATAAGGCAACTAAAAAGAAAATAGAAACATATTCACCAAAACAAAAACTGCTTTATAAGAGTTTCCTGTCTTCAGATATATTTGGTGATAACCCCATCATAATGTGATCTTTTTGAATTCCCTTTGGTTCTAAAATAAAAGGTTTTTTCTGGTGTGTGCCACTGTTCTTTTCTTTTAAAGCCATTGCTGTTGTACAATTGAATTTGGTATTTTAGCAAGTTCAGAAAAGAAATGCATTTAGGTCATCAGAGTAGGTCTACTGTACTAACTAATCATAAAAAAATTATAGAAAAAGCAATATTATCTGTGAAAATAGTGTGAAAGTACATCATGGCTAGATGATAAGAATAACATATCCTCCATTTTGAAAATGTATTTTTCCAATTTTTAGAAGTGGTTGTGCTGTCACTCGTGAGAGGAAAGGACCAAAAGAAGTGAGCACAATTCCAATACTTGATCATAATTCTTGAGTTTGAGTGAGAGAAGCTAGCCTAATTATTACCTTATGTGTTGAAGTAGGCATGTTTTGTCTATTTCTCTTCCTGACATGCAAAGTAGGCATGTTTTGTTCAACCCTTTCCTTCTCTCAAAAGTTGTGTTGAAGAATAACATTGAGCCTATTTGGATTTTGGACACAACTTTATAAGAGCTTGAGAGTTTCTTATTGAAAATAAAAAGCTTTTTCCAGTAGAAACTCTTGAAGCACTTTTAACTTGTATCCAAATAGTTTTCTAAGTTATATATATTGCTGCTAATGTCTATTTCTCTTCATGACATGCAGCATCGCGGACCTTGAAAGTGAACCTGGTCTATTTGTATCTAATAAAGAGGTATTTATTTTATTTTACTATTTTTTTTATCAAAGTTCTTTGGTTTGTCTCAGATTGATTTTGATATATGCTTGTTTCTTTTCTGCCGAAAGAGAGTATTTCTGGAGGCTGAAATGATGGCAAAGAAATACAGGGAAAAGCTACCTCCTGCTTTTATCTCTCAACAACCAGAAAGCCTCCAAAACAATGTCCTGCCTTTTGAAAATGAAGCACTTTATGCTAACTGGAAGTGGTTCAAGTTTGAGAGATAGTGATGAAACAATTAACTTTAAAGCATAACACTTTCGCGGGCAAGCTTGATTTTGAGAACCTGACATTGCATAAGAAAACATTATGAGCCTATAACAGAAAAGCTTTTGATTTAGTCTCTATTCATTCATAAGTTGATTGGCATTCATTGAAGAGCACACTAGTACGTGGTTTAAATAGATCATAGAAGTGTTGTATGCTTTCAGTTTTTTTTTTTTTGTCTTATTATTATTATTTTTAAAATTCCTGTCTTTTTAGCTTGTCGATTAATGGGTAGAGATTCATGTGCCTTGTAAATTTTTTGTACAAGTTATATTTGCATTTATTCACCTCAATTTTGCAAAATGTCATTTTCTTTTGTTCTTAGATGTTCAAAATTTGCAAGTCATTGGATCTGATTCAATTTGAATCAGTTGTACATCGAACTGATATAATTTGGTAATAGAATTCTAAACGCCTATATTTTTTTTTATTATTATACAAAATGCTCATTCAAAATGTTATTTAAGGAAAAGAAGAGTATTATTAGAATTTAGCAGTACATTCTGTAATAATTTTTTTTAACATTTTCATTATTTGTTAAAACTTACTAAAAACAAAAGATTGAGAGTCATTAAATAAGAGATGAAATTCACAAATTTGTAATTTAGAAAAAAATTGAAATTCTGCCTGGCCTGCTGACAAAGAGTTAACAGACAAACTGCTCAAAAGCATTGCTATGACACCATCTGAAGACAACAAATACAATACAAAGATCAACCACTAAACCTTGTCATGTTGCCAAGTAGGGAATGTGAATAAATTACAATTACTTTAATTTAGCATGCTCTTCAACACTCAAATTTTCAAGGAAGCAGCAGCAGATGCATCCTCGTATATGTCAAAATCAATTGATCTAATTTTTTGCTTTCATTAATTATGAAAACTATTAAAAGATCAATTTTTATGCTTTTTTCATAATAAATAGGAAATTAGGTATAATGCTATTAATTTTCACGTGTTGTATTAAAATAAATTCATGAATTTCTTAAAGTTAATTTAAGTAATTAAATCGTTTGGTTTAATTGTTTCTTCACTTAATTAATTTTTTTTTACAACAATTATTTACACTAATAGAGTCAAGGCTATTTGTATTTTGTTTAAAGATAATATAAATAAAAAAATAAAAAATAAAAGAGAATATAAATGTAAATCAAGTAAGTTAATAATAATTAGAAAATAGTAAAATAATCCTACGAAAAATTAGAGACCAAAGGTGATAACAAAATATGAAGGTAGTTATTATTGATAGAGTAGATAATTAATTTTTTTTATCGATTTTTTTCTTCTATTTTATCCTTTAAAAATATGATGTGATGTGAATTCGTGCACAAACTTAATGATACTGTTCGGTTTAATTATATCTCACGTTGCAAATTCTAAAATTGCACGATTTCACGGCAAGATTAAAGATGACATTCTAAAACGCAATTTAGACATATAAATCATTGAAAAAGGATTAGTAAAATCAAAGATATGAAAATAAGATGCACATATTTTGGAAATTAGCAGTGCGAAAAAATAACATGGAAACAAAAAAAGACTGAAGAAGAAACTAATAGGCATCACAAACAATTGATATTTGGTAAGCCTTTAGGATCGTCATAAGAATTTTAGTGAATTCTTGATAAGATCAAATGGTTCAAGGAAGAACCCTAACAGAGACAATTTTCACGCTTCAAAAAAATAAACATCCAAATCTGTTTTTTCATTCATATCCAAACAACTTATACAAAGTAGTTTTCACGTACTAAAAAGTAAATAAAAAATAAATAAATTATCAACATTAAAAGCTAAATAAAATGCCTTTGCGATTAATTGAGACCTAAAGAAACTTGAGGTCTTGGTCTCAAAACTAGCCATAAACACTTTATTTTAATTATTATTATTTATTTTTTAAATGTATAAGTCACTATTGACTTTCAATGATTAGTATATTTTGAATTATTTTGGCCTCTAAGTCCTTTTCCTTAGGTGTAACTTCAAAGATTGTTGCCACCACTTGTTGTAGGGACTCCTCTACCTTCTTAGTCCTAATTATAGTCATAGGCCCTCCAAGTAATTGTGTCGAACCTTGATCAACTTCAATGTCCCCATCATTCCCTCTTTCTTGGGCAACATTTGTCCTCAAATTCTTTCAAGTGCAACCTTTGATAGATTTCATCATTCCTTTCTTCTTGTAAGAAATTCGTCCTTGAATTTTACACTTTGTTACCTATGTGAAAGAAAACACAAGGATTTGTTTTAATGAAAAATAAAAATCCTACTTTTAAGGAGACTTGAATCCTTTACAAAAGATAAATATCTTATTATTCATTTAGTTACATATCCACCCTCCTAGATCAAATACAAGCACAAAGAAACCACCAAACGATAGTAAAAGAAAATTCATTCTTCTCTTGGATCTTGAGAAATTAAACACAAATTTCATAGCAAAGTCAATCTAATGAGAAGTAAAATCAAGTAAAGAAATTCTAAAATCATGAACTAAATATTTAGATTTATTCTTTTGATGCACATTCCATCTTTCACTAAACTTAAGCACACCATGCCTCATGTGATTCTCACAAAAATGTCCATACCTCATTAAGCTTTCTCCATGAATTCCTCTAATTAACAAATCATGCAGTCTATATTTATGAACACAAAAAGTTATATTTTGACACAATTTCCCTTGATTAAATAATCCATCATGATCACATGATCACTTTCTTTACAAATAGCATAACACATGGAAAAAGTCTCATGGTGATCATACAAGCCTAAATGATGTTCATTATTCACAAAACTCAAGGACTCTACACCTTGACCTAAAACAATATAATTTAAACCAAAAGCAACATGCAATTCACAAGATTTTTGGATTAACAAATGATACACATCAATTAAATCACAAGGTTTAGAAATGGTGTAATCCAAAATTTTCATCCCTCTTTGGTTGCATTGGTTCTCATGTGCCTCCACTTCTTCTCTAAATTATCTTGCCCATTGATCCTTGATATACAATTCTGTCTTAGGCATGAAAACAAATGAAGTTCCATGGTTAGATGCACAATCAAATTCAAAAGAAGAAATGAACCCATGATTTAAATTAGAAGTAAGAATTAGAGTTGTGTGTTTCTCCTTTGAGAGATCTTCTCCACTTTCACATTTAATCAAAGAATTAGAATGTGAAACTTGACATTCCTCCCTAGGAAGCTCTTCTTCAATTTCCTTCACAAAAGAATCATTTTCCTCTTTATCTTTTGCTCTTTGTTTTTCACTCTCTTTTTCAATTAATTTCTTTTCTCTCAAAACTTTTTCTTGTAACTCAATTTCTTTTCCTCTCATTTCTTTATCTTTTTTGTCTTTTTCTTTCACTTTTTCCTCTATTTTTCTATTTTGATTCTCAACTTAATTTGATCCTTAATTGTTTCCTTTGTTGAAAATAGAACAACCTTTATCTTATGACCTTCATGTACAAGAGAAATCTTATTATCTTTTTCATGGTGTTTCACATTTCTTTCAACTTGCCAAGATCTATCCAACAAAATATGACATGCTTCTATGGGAGCTACATCACACAACACAAGATCTTTATATTTCCCAATGGTAAAACTCACTAACACTTGTTGGTCTACAAGAAACTCACTTTCTACACATAACCATTTCAAGCAATAAGGTTTAGGGTGAGGGGTGGTTTTAAGGTTAAGTTTGCTGACCAACCTAGAGCTAGCCATATTAGTACAACTACCCCCATCAATAATCAAAGAACACACATTCCCTAGAATAAGACATCTAGTTTGAAATATGTTATCCTCTTGAGCCTCTTCCCTACTCTTATCTTGATACCTAGCAACCTCCTACACATCATCAACTCACCCTCAAGAGGTTTGGTACCACATCCACTGTCACTATTGGATGAGCTAGTTAAACATAACTCACTAGTGACAACTCCATTGTCCCTTCTAACCATGGTTTTCTTGTTTGGACAATGTAATGCAATATGGCCTTTACCTAAGCATTTAAAACATTTAATTCAATGACTACTAGTGCAATATCCTAAATTTATGATACAATATTATAATGTTCTTAATTATTATTATTATTATTATTATTATTTTATTCTTAAAATTGTAGTCTAAATTTTTAGTTATCATAGAGTTGTAGGAAATCTTCTTATCTTTCATATGAGATAAGGATGAGTATGATAGGAGTAGTATAACTTCATATATATATGTTGTTTTATGTGAAGGCTACCATTTCACAATAAGTGATTTGGTTAAGTTGAAAGTTGTTTTGGGTGCTTAAGTTAATTTATGTTGTGTATGCTGTGTAAGTTGGCATGATAGATGAGTTGTAAACATGATGGATGAGTTGTATTATGTGTTAAATATGCATGTTTTATGTTGTTGGGTCGTTTACGAGTTGTGTGTTGATCAATTATATGTTGAAAAGATGGTATTGTTGAGGCATGTTGAAATTAAGATGTTAAAGTTGTTTTGTGTTGTGTGTTGACTATTTATATGTTGTGAAGTTCATGATGATAATGTTGCATTATGAGAAGCACGATGTGAAGTGTGTAGATGTGTTGAGATGATACAGAATTTATTAGTAGACTGTGTTGCTAAGTTGTTAGATGAGAGTTGTATGTTGTTATAAAGTTGTATGTTGTACTATGTGTTGAAAAAAATATTACTTTTTGATAGTTAAGTTGTAAATTTGTGAGTTGAGCTATTGAGTTGTTGAATTGTCTGTGTTGTTTAAATTTGAAATGAATTGATAGTTGAGTTGATGAGATGATAACAATGTTGTTTAAAGTTTAAATGAGTTGATAGTTGAGCTGATGAGATGATAACTATGTTGTTTAAAGTTGAAATGAGTTGATAGTTGAGTTGATGAGATGATAACTGTGTTATTTAAAGTTGAAATGAGTTGATAGTTGAGTTGATGAGATGATAATTGTGTTGTTTAAAGTTGAAATGAGTTGATAGTTGAGTTGATGAGATGATAATTATGTTGTTTAAAGTTGAAATGAGTTGATATGTGAGCTGATGAGATGATAACTGTGTTGTTGTGTTGTGATGATGAGTTATTGATCACTAGGGCTAGGGGAGATATGTTCGAAGTTGCTCATCCCATTGTGTGGATTGAGAGTGTTGTGGTGCTCTAAAGAGCCTAATTTGTTGAAAAGCCCTCCTTGGGAAGTTGTCCCTTGGAGTGGATGATGTGTTGTTCTCCTCTAGGACTTATTTGATCCTATGTATGGGCAAGGTTGAGACAGTGTATGAAGCGACCACAGTATAGGAGCCAGGTC